GCTAAGCTATAGCCCAGCTATAAAGGAAACAGACGTGCAGTACGAAGCACGTTTATTCAGTGAGTATATTGCACGGCAAAGTGTGTACACGCAGGGAGTTAATCATGATCAGGATGGCGGATCAGGTTAAACAAACAGATAGCTATTCACCTCAGATCAGGATGGGGGATTAGGTTAAACAGAGGTTGATGATTGATCACAGGATGGGGGATTAGGTTAAACAGAGGTTGATGATTGGTCCCTGTTTGTACGGCGGCTGCTGTACGGCGCACCTCCCAATCCTGGTGAGCAGACATGCAAGCATACGATGACGCACAGAGCGATAACGCGTCCCATAGATTCGTGGTAAAGTGCTGCAATTCTGTATCCCTAAAATCGTCGAGACTAATTGGTAATCTAATAAATCCATTAAACTAAAATAGAGACGGAATTATACCTCAACAAGACATTAAAAATGTGTCATGCGAAATTTAAAGTGTCGATTTATATAAATGCGGGATATGTTATTATGAAAACTGTAAGATTAAACAGAACGTGTGTTAGCATATATTAGTTTTTACGTCAAAATGACAATGGCAAATCGGCTGGGTATAGTTGTGGTGATCTTTTTTGTGGTTATTCATTTTCACTTAAACATGCTTTCTGGTTTAACCAGTGTAGGTTTATTTCGGTTAAAGGTCTCAATCTCTCTGATGAACCATTTGATTCTTATTAGCATGATCAAACGATCGTGTTTGGCCATTCCTCTCAATGGGTCCGCTCAAATTAGCCTCGAAACCCCAGTATGTAATTCGGAGTTTACATCACTTAAGTCATTTTCAAACTTTGACGATTTATGCGTGCTCTACTCTGGCGCAGATCATAAATGAAGACTTCTAGTATCGTTTGGATTTCTCTAGCAAAATGATTTCAAATGCCCTAAGAGATGACAGCTCGATTTTCTTCAATACGTAGCAATTCGATCGGACGGAATTGAGGACCTTAGATGGTCACATCGATTGCCCATTACACATCTACTAACAAGTTCAACTTGCTATCTCTCTCAGTGCCAAAGCACCGATGAGCACAATCGTGTTGTTTCAACATCATCAGCATGCAACCTTTGGTTTTGTTAATGATCATATGTGTTGACTGAGGTGCAAATTTTCTGACTTTAAAGCAAATTTGGTAACTGTCCTTTCACGCGAAAAATTCAGACAATAATTTTCTACAAACATTGCCTTTTCACTTTTATTTTAATATTTATTCAATTCTGAAAGTGGCATTAGAAACACCTCTCTCTCTCTCGTCTCTGGCAACCGGGATAAAAGCCAGAGCCCATAAAGAAAAAAATGTGCCTCCCAGTCAAAACAACTAAATTTACAGAGATAAAAAAAATCCCAATTTATTTGTTTGCCTAAATGTAGTTGTGTGTTTGTGTGTGTAATTAGAACGGAAATAATCTGCCATTTACAACAGCCAAAAACCAGTTCCAATTCAATGATTTTGCCATTTTGATTTCACTTATTTTGGCAATTGGTGTACTGTTATATTCGGCGTCTAAAAAAGCGAAAAAATAAAGAATTTTCTTATAATTAATAGAAATTTTCGGTGGAAGCTTTATGGTCAAATAACAAGTTACTATTTTGGGTATTTTTATTTTCACTGAGTTTATTGAAATTACGTAAAGAACTATGACTTAAAATATTATTTAAAAAAACACAAATGGTAATTTTTCCCATTTAATGTACAAGAAGTTTTGGTATTTAATTTGATTACTTATCATCTTTTGAATTTTTTTCCTTAGATATTACAAATCACGTCTTAGGAAGAATATTTACGGGCAAACAGGTAAGCCTGTTAACGCACTGCCAAAATGTTTTTGTACGTTGCCAATAAATAACTTAACTATAAATGAAATATATATATATATATAAGCTGCGATAAACAAGCGCAAGATTTATTTATTTATATTAAGTGGCAGGCGTTTTGATTGTTATCATTTTCCCTTTAGTTGACTTCAGGCTTCACAGAGGGGAAGGAACATCAAAGTGACAAAAAGTAGAGAGGGGGGAACAGAAGAGTGTTTCAAATATGCAAAAGAGACAGACACAAATGTGTAAAAATGTTGAGGTGAGTACTGTTAAAGTAGTCAAATATGACGTACAGTGGGGTGATGGTAGTTTGAAGTGAGAAGTCAACTGTAGGTGAGGTGAGTACTGTGGAAGTAGTCGAATATGACACAGTAAGGTAAGATGATTACTGTGAAAGGGGTCGAATATGACATAAGTGAGGTGATGGTAGTTTGAAGTGAGAAGTCAACTGCCTTAGTCGAATATGACATACAGTGGGGTCAGAGTCAACTGAAGGTAGAAAAAAGGCGAGGTGAGTACTGTGGAAGTGGTGAAATATGACATACAGTGGGGTGATGGTAGTTTGAAGTCAGAGGTATATGACATACAGTGGGGTGATGGTAGTTTGAAGTGAGAAATAGGTAGAAAAAAGGTGAGGTTAGTACTGTGGAAGAAGTCGACAGTAGAGCAAAGGTGAGGTGAGTACTGTGGAAGGGGTCGAATTTGACATACAGTGGGGTGATGGTAGTTTGAAGTGAGAAGTCGAAGAGAAAAGGTAAGATGAGTACTGTTGAAGTGGTCGAATTTAAGAAAAAAGGTGAGGTGAGTACTGTGAAATGGTCGAATATGGACAAAGGTGAGGTGAGTACTGTAAAAATAGTCGAATATGATATAGAGTGGGGTGATGGTAGTTTGAAGTCAGAAGTCAACTGCCGATCAATAGACTTTTTGCAAGTCAGAAGTCAACTGCCGATCAATAGACTTTTTTGTCTTTGAAGTCAGAAGTCAACTACCGTACAGTGGGGTCATGGTAGTTTGAAGTGAGAAGTCAACTGTAGGTGAGGTGAGTACTGTGGAAGTAGTCGAATATGACACAGTAAGGTAAGATGATTACTGTGAAAGGGGTCGAATATGACATAAGTGAGGTGATGGTAGTTTGAAGTGAGAAGTCAACTGCCTTAGTCGAATATGACATACAGTGGGGTCAGAAGTCACTGCCATACAATGGGGTGATGGTAGTTTGAAGTCAGAAGTCAATAGCCATATTAATAGACTTTTTGCCGTATGAGTATACGTTGCCCAGGGCGTAGGTAATAGACTTTTTTGCCATATGAGTATACGTTGCCCAGGGCGCACAAATAGATTTTGCCGTATGAGTATACGTTACCCAGGGGGTCATGGTAGTTTGAAGTCAGAAGTCAACTGCCGGTTTGTGTGAGTACTGTGAAAATGATCGAATATGACATGGAGTCAGCGAGTACTGTGGAAGTAGTCGAATATGACATACAGTGGGGCGAGTGCTGTTGAAGGGGTTGAATATGACAAGCAGTCGGGCTGATTGGTAGTTTGAAGTGAGAAGTCAACTGCCGGTTGATAGACGTAGTTTGAAGTCAGAAGTCAACTGCCGGTTGATAGACTTGTTAGTTTGAAGTGAGAAGTCAACTGCCAGTTAATAGACTTGTACCGTTAAAGTAAGATGAGTACTTTGAAAGGGGTCGAATATGACATACAGTGTGGGTGATGGATACTGTAAAAGTGGTAGAATACGGCATTCAGTGGGGTTAGTACTGTGGTAGGGGTCGAATATGACATACAGTGGGGTGGTGGCGTACTGTGGAAGGGGTCGAATATGACATACAGTGGGGTGAGCTACTGTGGAAATAGTCAGAAGTCAACTGCCGATTAATAGACTTTTTGATTTTCAGTCAGAAGTCAACTGCCGGTTTATAGACTTTTTTGCCGTTTGAGTAGTCAGAAGTCAACTGCCGGTTAATAGACTTTTTTGTGAAGTGAGAAGTCAACTGCCAGTTAATAGACCTTTTTGCGTTGAAGTCAGAAGTCAACTGCCGGTTAATAGAATTTTTTTGCCGATAGTGAGAAGTCAACTGCCGGTTTATAGACTTTTTTGCCGCACAGTGGAAGTGGTCGAATATGCCATACAGTGAGGTCACGGTAGCTTGAAGTCAGAAGTCAACTGCCGATTAATAGACTTTTTTGCCACATGCAGTCAGAAGTCAACTGCCGGTTTATAGACTTTTTTGCCGTTTGAGTAGTCAGAAGTCAACTGCCGGTTAATAGACTTTTTTGTGAAGTGAGAAGTCAACTGCCAGTTAATAGACCTTTTTGCGTTGAAGTCAGAAGTCAACTGCCGGTTAATAGAATTTTTTTGCCGATAGTTTGAAGTCAACTGCCGGTTTATAGACTTCGAATATGACATAGAGAAGTCAACTGCCAGTTAATAGATCATGGTAATTGAAGTCAGAAGTCAACTGCCGATTAATAGACTTGGGGTCATGATAGTTTGAACTCAGAAGTCAACTGCCAGTTAATAGACTTACTCATGGTAGTTTGAAGTCAACTGCCAGGTAATAGACTTTAGTTTGAAGTGAGAAGTCAACTGCCGATTGATAGACTTTTATTTGAAGTCAGAAGTCAACTGCCAGTTAATAGACCTTTTCAGTCAGAAGTCAACTGCCGGTTTATAGACTTTTTTGCCGTTTGAGTAGTCAGAAGTCAACTGCCGGTTAATAGACTTTTTTGTGAAGTGAGAAGTCAACTGCCAGTTAATAGACCTTTTTGCGTTGAAGTCAGAAGTCAACTGCCGGTTAATAGAATTTTTTTGCCGATAGTGAGAAGTCAACTGCCGGTTTATAGACTTTTTTGCCGCTTTGAAGTCAGAAGTCAACTGCCGAATAATAGACTTTTTTAAGAAGTCAACTGCCAGTTAATAGACTTTTTTTGCCGTATGGCCGTATGATTATACGTTGCCCAGGGTGCACCACGTGGAGGTAAGTCTATTGAAAAACGAATGCCGAGTGATAGAATTTTTGCCGTAAGAAAGTACGTTGCCCAGGGTGCACCACGTGGAGGTAAGTCTATCGTAGTTAACTGCCAGTTAATAGACTTTTTGCCGTATGAATATAACGAAAGCCGAGTGATAGACTTTTTTGCCGTAAGAAAATACGCTGCCCAGGGTGCACCACGTGGAGGTAAGTCTATCGCACACAAACTTCCGGTTAATAGACTTTTTACCGTATGAGTATACGTTTCCCAGGGTGCACCACGTGGAGGTAAGTCTATCGCACACCCACCAGGGTGCACCACGTGGAGGTAAGTCTATCGCACACCCCTTGTCAGGGTGCACCACGTGGAGGTAAGTCTATCGCACACCCCAGTTCTGCCTAATAATGTTGAGGCTAAACCCCTGAACTGCAATATAAAATTAATAAACTCATTCCTTCTCATTTAATTCAACGTCCCGTATCAGGAATCCACAGCTTCGCTTCATGGTATTGATGTACCTTTCACCAGACGTCTTATGATCGGCAAATAAAAAACACTTAAAAACTTAATACAATCAGTCGAATTGGTAAGATTGAATTAAATTAGATCTACCTGGGGTATATGGGAAAACTTTGGTTGAATACGTCCACCTCTGCACAAGCAATTTACCCATCTGGAATCGGATTTTACATCCATATGAAATACAACAAAAAACAATCGAATTTTTAAAACAAACAGATGTCTTATTAAAAATTGTCAAGACTGTAATCCCTTATTTATTATTTCCAAACTTTATCGGTGTTGGCAAATTTATATCCGAATCAAAGTATATTGTTTAAAGATCAGAATATCGAACCAATGTTTAACACTGTTATCGATTTTAGCTAACACCATAAATCCCACTGCCACAGAATACAGAAACACCCTCTTTCAAGTTACCCCAACCCGATATCACCAGCTTCCATTGATTGATCCCAATTGCATTGAGATTGTAAAGCCGCTAGGAAAGAGTGAGTTCCATTTGAAGTCATCATACTATCTTAATTACAAAACAAACACATTAGTTAATTACTTGTTTAACTACAATATTCCTTGAACTATTCCCTCTCCTTTCAACACATTAAAACAAAATATTTGCATAGGTCGTCATGGAGAAACTTACCTTGGAAGCATGAGAGCATCGCCTTCGGGAGGGAAGAATTCGCTGCCACCCAGAAAGATTTTTCTTCGACCAGCTCTCCCGAAAACTGCAATTGAAGCAGCCAAGATTGCTTCGTGCGTTCGACATCCAAATATCGTCTTTTGTCACGGAATTCTGAAAGCCCTCCAACCCAACTTCCTGGTCTATAACTTCATGGCCTGTGGGAGATTGGATATGTTTCTTGTCTCCGTAAGATTTTTTATTACTTATTTATATTTTGTCATTAAATTCCATACATATGCGATACTTTCAATTGTTGGAAAGGATTCACTTAAAGTCATAGCGGTGTATATAACGCATATATAGATAATTATCCGTTTCATATTTTGCATATTTTTTAAATAAATATGCATGTATGCCCTTTTTAAGTTTTGTTTATTCATGTTTTTTATTCCAAAATCACTTTTAAATTAATAAGCCCATTTAATAAATCAAAGTTAAGGCTACTCCAAATTTGATGGGTAAGTTGTTATAAGAACCCCACTTCTGAGTTAAGTTATCGAAAAGATAGGTAGAGGAATGGGATATATGGAACAAATTTTTCTGTTCGCCTAATGACCTTATAGAATCTCATGGTCCACGCGGATCAGAGAACCCAGGGGAGTACCCGATGTGGAATGAAATATTCCACAAAAAAAATTTAAAATTTTTTTTTGGCGGGACCTACCATTTAAAATAATTTTCCGATCAATTATCTCTCTAAACAGTGTAGACGTGAAAGGGTGAAATTTGGTGAGTTAATGTCTGCCTTTATACTCCACAAAGCTACCTTCTCACCAATTGAGATCTGTAGGAAAATTTCATCAAGCACTTCTAATAGCAAACATAATTGTTAAAATACCGAAATGTGAAGGTATATCTTATTTCAAAATTACTAATACTGAACAAAAAATGTGATTAACTTTGTACTAATCGGTGGTAGCACGTTCCTCTTCGATAAATCAATCAATTCCGAGCTTCTTATCAAGTGAGTAGCAAATTTGATAATAAATATTGGCAAAATCTCACTTGCAGCTATTGGCTATATCCGCCACCAAACTGCTCACTTATACTTTTAGAGAAACCTTCATTTATGAACAACTGGATGTTGTATTGAGAGGTTTGACGTTTTTCTGTGACAAATATCGTCATTCCGTACGATTTCAACTCACCACCCAGCCCGAATGTTCACGTAAACCCCGTCCAGGTCATTTGCTACTTCACAGACTCCGTGGAAGCAATAGGAATTGCGCTATTCCAGCTAATTTCCTCAGGAAGCTATCTATCTTCTGCCAGTTCCTTTTGCCAATAACATGGCAGCATTGACGAATAGGTCATCCATCTCACTTCACGAAAATTAGAGTCATCTTTCCTAATCGCGATCTTCCGGAGGGGGGATGGGTGGAGGGGGAATGGGTGGAGGGTTGAAACCTTTCATCACTGCCTTGAGGCTACACCGTCTGAGCTGCATATTAATGAAAATAACACCAGAATTTAGCAGCAGAATATGGAAATTGACCTCATATCATATCGAAACTATAAATAACGAGAAAACTAGAAAATTAGTTCCGGAAATACATCGACTTGGAGTATAATGATAAAACACCTGTATTGATAAAGGTCGCTGATAAAGGTTGGTAGAAATACTATTCTAGGGTTGGAAAATTCAAGTCAAGAAGTGACACAGCGCTAAATTTCCCGGAGAGGAAGTGGCTACGAAAAAAGAGTGATTAACTGACCAATCGCATGTATCATTTGCCGCCTGCAGAGAGATAGAGAGAGGGTAAAAGGCGAAAGAATGTGTAGTCGTTTATTTTTAATGCGAGAATTATAAAATGTCCAGAATTGTGGATTTACAACTGCTGACAACCCCTCGGCTCCTAGATGTCCTAAAATTCGCATAATGACCCCCCACCCCCTCCAAATGATGTATTTCTATGGGGGGGGGGGAGTTCAGATGATGACCAAAGGAGGATCTTACGCCTCTTCGACATAATATTCCAATTTATATTAAGTGAAAGTCTATGCAATTTGCAGGGGTTTGAAAGACAAATTTCTGGGTTCTACAGATTGAGACTGGTCATGGAATCAAGCAGACGACTTCTGCTCTATTGCCACTTCGATTGGATGTGCCGCAAAGCTTCAACGGAAATGGCGCATGAAGAACTGCCCAGAAGTATGTAGATTCAGATTAAGAACAGTCATATCTCCAGGTAGATTAATGCATAGTCTTACGAATGAATTCCTATGCAGCGAAGTGTGCAATAGACTCACCTCCACGTGGTGTATCCTGGGCAACGTATTCTCATACGGCAAAAAAGTCCATTAACCAGTAGTTGGCTTCTGACTTCAAACTACTATCGCCCCACTCTATGTGGTGATATTCGGCCACTTTCACAGTACTTATCTTACCTTTTCTCTGCCTTTGTGCTTGCCTGTCTCTTTTACATCTGTGATTTGCTCTTCTGTTCCCTTTGTTTCTGTTACTTTGATGAATCTTCTCTTTGTGAGGCCCGAAGTCAGCTAAATGGTTAATGAAAGCTATCAAAACGCCTGCCTTTTGAAATAAATAAATTCCTAGGCATCTATTAGCCTACCCGACTTGATATGACGAAGACCAAGAGGCGTCTACTGGTATCAACACTGTTTGAAGCACTCGTCGAGTTTTCTTCTCTTCGCGGTTTTTTACTGTTGTCCATCGTGGGTGAATCATGATAAATTAAGGTCTCTTCAGAACGTGCCTTGCCAGTTGAAGATGAAAAAGATCGTCCAAGAAACTTTTCTGCCCAATGACCGAAGCACAGACTTGGTTTCTGAACAAACCTGCATAAAGAGGCAACATGATCTCTACGCTTTCATTGACTTCCATAGTTGTGGAAATTCAAAGTTTTTGAAATCGATAGCTGGCTTGGCAAACGCAATTTAGATATGAAACAAGTATTCAGTTAGAAAGATTGTGCTGTTTCGATGTAGTTTGGCAATGGGTAATCTATCTCCCACTTTCAAGAGTACCCACCACAATAGAAGGTTTGAGAATCATGGGAACAGTTTGCGTTGGCACTCTGTGTCGCCGGTAATTTTTCAAACTCGTGGAAGATGAGAATAGGCGAAACAGACCAACTAAAATACGCAGATATTCCACAGACTGAGAGAATTTCATGCACAATAGGTGGTTACTAAAATAGCGCTCTGAAAGAGGGTGGTTCCGAAATAGCTTCCTAGCATTGACAAGGAACAACTAAAGCCTGATGAAAATTAAACTTCCCACAACCTGAGAATTTTGGAGACCAAATGCAGAGTAGCTTTTATTTGCCGCTTACAGCCAAGATCAAGATATGAATATATTAGCGATTTAGAAAAAAATCATATTACTCATTTCCTAAAAGTTCAATTGCTTTGATACTCTTTGTAGGAAATAAGACGCGCGGAGGAGTTGGATTCAAAGCGAAAAGAAGCCACTCTACCTCGTTCACCATTACTTTCCAACAGAACTATTTTTCATATGCTTCATCAAATTGCATCGGCGTTTACTTTCCTCATTTCAATGCCACTTGATAACATTGTAAGTTTGGGGTGGATTCTTTGTCGCACTCCTCCTCCCCCAAAACCCCCCCCCTCACCCTCACCCCCACGTCACCCCACCCCATTTCGTCAGGTGGATAATGCATTTTAGTTTTGCTTCAGATTCTAGATTCATCTGCAGTTATGGTTGCCGATGACCACTCCTGTAAGATTCAGCTCAAAATTCGCCCTTTCGAGCCCTCAAGAAAGGACACATCAAGCACAATCAAAGAATTCAGTCTAAAGCAAGGTCTTGCTGATTTCATTGGTCCACACCCTTCATCGAGAATTTTTGTTGTTCAAGAAGGTCAAAACATACTCCTTCCAAGTATATTAGTGAGTCGATTTTCAGGTAAAGTATATTGTTTCATTTTGGCTTCAGATGAAAGCGTCTAGTTTAATTTTAGAAGAATTCTGCAGGCGTGCATTCACCTACAACTCTCTTCCAATCAGTTATGCTACATCTCAAGCTGACGTTAAATCAGGACAGCCTTCCTGGTAATAACACTCACGTGAAGAAATTTGGATGTATTCAGATTGAACTACTTCTAGCAGCCATATTTCGACAAATATGTGTTCTTCGAAATTTAAATTCCACGGGAATGACTATATCAAATGCCTTGGAGAAATATGGATGTCTTTCAAAAAAAGTGGCCTGGAGAGAGGAGTCTCCACTGCTGAATGATGTAATCGCGCTGATTACTGGATGGTTCGGAAATGAATTCCTGGGATGTGTCATAAGCAGCTGTCTAGACCATGATACCTCTAGACAACCGAGTATCGTGGAAGTGGAGAATCACCTGAAGAAGTTCCTTACTGATAAGGAGACTCAAAAGCCACAGAAGGAGAAAATTGCGGCAGTAATCCATAGTGAAGAGACACTCCCTTTGTAAGTTGAAATGATACATTAGGACTTTGGTTCAAGCACCACATGCCTAGTACTGATTTAAGGACTGTTGTGGTGGAAGTTGGGGGGGGGGGGGGGTTACTAGGGAACATGGAACAGGGTTAAAACCCATTTAACACGAGAGGTATGAGAACGATATGATTTGCGACAAGTATTTCGACACGCATGCATTCATGGTCAATGTTTTAATAAAACAGCCTAACCAAGGAGGAAACATTTCCAATTCTGGAGGTTGGTATTTTTTAACATACTTACCCCCTCCAATCAGACTTATAATACCCAATTAAGCTAAGTTGAATTTGACGTTCGTTAGTAAGTAAAAATTCAAGTAACATATTGACATGAAACACCCACTAATGGCCTTTAGTATTAATTGATAACTGATACCAAACGAAAGAATCGTTATGAGGGACATCATCTTCAAAGATATTCCTGCATTCCCTGCCTAGATTTCTTGAGAAAGTTGGCTGACCTGTGTGAAAAGTCGTCGAAATTCAGCTGTCAACATTAAGCCCACCGAAAATCTGGGATTTCGGTTGTCATAAATATGGAAACGCATTTCGTTTACCACAATGAAAGATGAACGTTTAAAAAAACAAACTGCAGTAAATCATTAACAAACTCGTTGTATATGGTAATTCATATCAGTATAAGCTATTAAAACTTAAAATTTAGTTAAGAAATCAATTTTTTGATTTTCTGAAATGAAGTCAAATGGTTGACTTGTACTGGTCGCAGCAAGTACTTAAAGAGACAAATCACAATATTGAATAAGTGAGCATGGCAAAATTTCGAAGATAAACTTTAGCTGATTGCTGCGCTATTAAAGCCTTGACTAACTCAGAAATCTCTGTGGCAGATTCTCCTACATCTACCTAGACTCCCAGAACTAGCTAAGCTACGGCCCAGCTATAGAGGAAACACGTTTAATGTGATAAAAGTGTCCACAATATAAGGTTAGTCATAATTAGCATGGCGGATTTGGTTAAACAAACGAAGGCTTCTGATTGGCTATTGGTTGAGCGCGCATGCGATCATGTGTTAGGTGATGACGTGTCCCAAAAGTTTGTCTACAGAATGGAGCCCAAAGTAGGAAACGCATTTCTCGTTCCCATTAGTGGATAGTGAATAAAATAATCAGTGATATTTAACGGAACACATACGTTAAAAGGACTGAATTCTTGACTTATTAAGATAATTTAGTAAAGTTCAAATATTTATCGGCAATTGAGCGATTTATGAAAATTGCTCCCATAAATTTCGACGTTTGCAAAGAGCAATTAAACTTTCTTTTGCTCTTCTTTCCCCATTAGGCCCGCAGTGGCCCCATTGGCAGAAATCTCAGTCCAAAACGCCCCGGCAAAATGGAACAATTTGCAGCTGACTTCACCTTGCACGGAATTGAACCCCTTTTATTCTCCAGATACTGTATAGAATTGCAGCTGTTTCTCTCACCTTGTACATAAGTAGCTTTCCAAAGTTGATTCTCTTTTCCTCAGTTTTTCATACGTTGAATTTTACAAAATTCGTATATTTTCTTCTAAGTCTATTTTTTATTTCTATAGAAAAATTAAACATCTAATTTGTGAAATTTTAAATTGCATTAGTCATCGCATTGAACTGCATAGTTACTTTGTATAACTGCTACGTATCAGTCAAAAGTTTTAGTTCATGTGGCTAGAGCAACTGAGATTTGTCAGAGAAGAATTCTTTATTAATAATTAGAAACTGAAATTTCTACCCAAAAGGTTATTCATCAACTGTAAAAGTCTCCTCCAGAAAGTAAATTGATGTAATAAAAATTTACTGAGTGGTTGATGGTCAACAATTCGAATAATTAATATATTCGTGGAAATTTTAACTAAACTTGATTTAAAACTTTCAATTTAACCAGATGGCGAAAAATTGGGTTGGTGAACGTGGATATGCATATGTATGGCTACAGAATGCATTGTAGTTGGATATTGATCAAGAGTCCAATCTCATTGGAAATTGACGAGATATATTCTCATTGTTTGGACTCTCCTCATAATCATTCCGTCTCATAGCAAAGTTCGGACACCACGAACAGACAAAAAAAATTATTTCTATTAAAATTAACAAAACAAAGCATATTAATGATTTATGAGGCTAATTTAATTCTAAATGCCCAGAAAATATGTATTTTTATAACATTTAGAATATTGTAAGACTTGCTACAATGAAGTACTTATTGTTTGGATGGCATTGACCAAACAACGCATAATGAGTATATAATGATAGAAAGGGAAAAAGCATTGAAGAACACAAAATGTAAGGCACTATATTATTTGAAGTTTAGATGCATTCAAATGACACCTTAATAATGGTATTCAATTCAAAACGTCTTTAACAAAATATTTATTCGATAAGGAAAAAACTAAAATTATTATGTATTATAAATAAGACAATTGACGGGTTTACATTTTCACGGTAATATGCCAAAATATATGTCCAATATTGTTGATAAGACGTATTATTAAGCCTAAATGGAGAGATCAATAAATAACTGAACACGTCTTCATTTAATTTAGTATAATTTTAGAAAATATGCATAATCCCAAATATATATATTAATATACGTACATTTACAATTAAAAATCGTACAATCAAATAGAAGTATATTATATTTTAAGATACGTTTCTAAACAATTTTTTATTTTACAATGCTTATACGCTTAGCTCCTCTCAGTCAAGGTCGTTGCTGTTATCAATAAGTCATTGTGGGCTTTTAACATGGATCCTCATAGGTTTCTCGTGTGATTAATTGTCAAGAAACTCAATGGTTCCCTGTAATTCCGTTGTGCAGATATTGAATATGAAGCTAAATAAATAAGATGTTCAAAAGATAAAACCGAGGGCCAAGATGCATAAAGAGTACAAACTTGGGGGGTGGGGGGGGTGGG